ATTAACACATCTATGATGAAGTTGAATAGAAAAGGAGATAATGGGCATCCTTGACGGACACCACTGGTCGTCATCAGTTCAGATGACAGCTCGCCGTAAGCCCTCACCTGGCTGTATGAGTACGAGTAGAGTGCCTTAATCAGTGCAATATATTTTCACAGAAGATTTCCAAACTGGTTTCAGGTGGATGAGGGCATATATACTGCGCCTTTCCGGTTCTGACTTTGACATCTTCATCCATTCCAACTGCCTGTGGTTGAAACGATGCTTCCAAGATAAGTGAACGAAGAAAAAAAACTGTGGGATTTCAGCTTGGTCCATTCTACTTCCTGACTGTTTCATCATAGCGTATACACCTAGAATCGAATACTTTACAACCAGTTATAAAGCAATTAGTTCCCTTTTTTTTTATGAATTTCGACAAAACAATAAGACGTAGTTTTCAAGTGTTAATTTGCAGAGGATTTGATTTGATTTGACTGATTACAGGATTTCATCATGAGCTGCTGACATTGGTTAGAGAACTATTGGAAAACCAGCTGGAAGCACTGGATAGCTGTTTTCATCCCAGTATGTCATTCTGCATCAGAGTACACACTTGCCACCAGGGTTCGGACCCCACACCTCTCGGTTAAAAGGCGAGCTTGTAGACCATTAAACCACTGGGACTCCATCTAATGGACATCAATCTGATGCTCATTAGTGACTGGCCCTTTGCATCAGGTAGGTAATTACTTGGGGTCTATTAGTAGGAAGTTGTGACCATTAGCGTACACAGCAGGTCGAGTGTGGGGACAAATATGTCTAGTGATTGCACTATATCGTGAATTGGCGGAAGTTGGAATTTATACGCCATTCTATCGGGTCCTTGTGCGACGGTCGGTCGTCCAGCGGTAGAACACTGGACAACAACAAACAAGTGTTCCGAGGTTCGACCGACAGATGACGAGGCACTCCTTTACCTCGATAAGCCAGTGGTAATCCCGGTAAAATGGGAAAGTTGGACATGAGGCTAGCAACCCCATCTCGTAAAAGACATCACTGCTCCCGGTTGAATCCGTATGTTCCACTGGGGATGCAAACGAATAAAAGTTTTTAAAAAGGATAATATTAATCGATCGATTCGTAGTGGCTTAATAGTTTGACAACCTGAAATAATACTGCACTTTTTGAGAATTCACTACATTTTAACAATCAACTACTCTGAGAGAGAATGTCACTATGAAGCTCACCTGCCTGCCTACCTACCTGATTCAAGGGTGTTTGTGCACATTTTTTCGGTATCATATCACAATCTGTGATAGTATACTGACATACCTGTACACATAGACGCACGCACGCACACACACACACACACAAATACAGGTGTACACATAAACACCAAGATCACATTATTCACCATCAGAACCAAAATCTAGTAAAAATTCAACCGATATTTGATTGACAACAAAAGAATAAGCCAAATGACATAATGAAGGAATCTAGTATCAAAATGGTGTATGCGTGATAACATATTTTGAAGGATATATATATATGCGGCTATTACTGACAATATCTACCTATCTATCTCTACCTATATGTCTTTCCTTAAACACTTGTAACCATGGTGTAAGAAAGCTTTGCTCAGAAGAAAAGATCGAAGAAGAGCTACCACCGATTGCCTGATTGTGTGATAATAGTTACCCATAGAGAAGTTCATCGACAAATATAGAAAAGTTATTTAATTGAGTTTTAGATTTTCACCTCACCCTCCCCCTACTGATTGGACCGAAGTGCTCGGTCTCAGGTTGATATATATCGGCTGCTCCTTGTGCATATGATTCGACAATGTCTGGGCATATAATTAGAATTTAATTGGTGGATGGTGACTAGAGGCAGTGGAATCCAGGATAACGCGCATTTCGTCCTATTTGAGACTCGTCTTCCAGCTGGATGTACACCTGTATTCCGCAGTGAGTGGTGATTTTCCCACAGAGACTTGAACCCAGTGCCCATAGTTTCAAACACCAAAGTGTTATTCAGTAGACCATTTGGGTCATGAGAGCCACATCCTGTGACGAGTCCTAAATAGGACGAAATGCGCGTTATCCTGGATTCCACTGCTAATCACCATCCACTAATTAAATATAGAAAAGGTATTGTTAGCAAAGTGAATTACAACAGAGTAGAGAAAAAGTTCATCTTTCTACAGCTGACCTTCAAAGGTGACAATAATACTGCTAATAGAATAAAAATGCAGACTGAACACTTGCCCTGAAAAAACAACATATCCAGTTGCATTTTCAACACCAATGTAAAGTCGGTTCTTCTATACGGATCAAAAACTTGCACTGCGTGTCACGAAAAGGATTTCCAACAGGCCAATGCAGACTTTCACCAACAACTGCCTTTGCCGGTTCCATACTCTGCAGTGGAACAAACCAACCAATAGCTGGCCACTCGGTAAATATGTAGGAGAAAGTATAGATTGTACAGGCAGTCTAATGACATCGAGCACTCGACTGGAATCCCAATGGGAAGCGACGAGTGGGTCGTTGGTGCGAGGGTGACATGGAGGAGATCATGTGAGGAAGAAATGAGAGAGTTTGGTCAATCGTGGACCCAGCTGAAGAGGATGGCAGAAAACACAACAAAGTGAAGATGTGTTGTTGAAGCCAGCTCTAGGTTCCACTCGGAACTGAAGGGAATGTATGTGTCGAGTTTTACCAAACAATAACCGGTTGTTTAAGTAAGACAGTCAAAAGTGGACAAACTCCTTCCTACCTCATATTACTTCCAATTGTGTCTACCAGTTTACACGCGTACATACATACCAAAATACATACAACATTGGAAGAACAGCGATAAGGGGGTATAGTCTGCATTTCTGAATACTTAAACCAAAGAATCTGAGACTAATGAACTGGCAGGCATTAAACATGACGATTGCGCGCCATCTATTGAACACTGGTTATAGTATTGTGGACAATCTAAAGGCATACAGAATAATAAACAGGCAAAAGGAACCATCCAGCTTGCAACGACGTTTTGCTGGGGCAATCACCATCAGACGATGAAAATTAAATCTATGTACGCAGCAGAAAAACGACAGTGGTGAATCTCGCACTGCCCCCTTGAGATGATAACAAAGTATACGAAAATTTTTAACTGCACCCAATTTTGTCCTGATGTTCAGAAAATTTTATTTTTTTCGTCTAAACATGACTCACCCTACCCCACACCGCTTTTTCTGGATATTTTATGAAGACATACTTACTGTGGTTACGTAACCTGTTAAGTTGTTATATTCTTACTATTTAGATTTAGTTTCTACCCACAAAAATATCTGTTGAACTCTGCTGTCCTTTAGTTTCCAAGCATTATTACTATTATTTCATTCCTTACGGTTCACCCTCCCCCCCCCAGTGGAACATAGGGCTTCAAGCTAGAGGTCTGAAGTTTCACTAGCAGTGGTTTTCGTATTTTTAAGAGATGGGGTTGCTAGCCTCACATGCCCAACCTTCCCTCTTTATCAGTCGTCTCGTATTACCACTGGCTTAGCGAGGTAAAGGAGTGCCCTGTCAACCGGGAAACGAACCCTAAACCACATGAGGCGTGGTCGGCGAGCATTCTACCGCTGTGCTCCACCAACGCACGTTTCCAAGTATGGTTGTCTAATTTTCCTATGAATAAATGGTCATTCCTTTTCCCTCTTGACTATATAACAACTTGCATCATTTTTGACTAATGTTACTCTAAGTTGCTCTACAAAAGTCCGGCATGGCTATGAGAAATGATCACTAAAAGCTGAAGGCTTCAAAAGCTTATTTGTCTTTGATCACAGGGGTGTTTGCGTTCCGTCTCTCATATTAAATGGTATAATATGGTGAGTAATATTGAGATTAGGCGTAAATTACTAGGTAAAATAGGTTGTAAAGGTATATATCGATTGAGATGGTTAGGATACGTGATATTCATGAGTAGGCACCGCCAACATCGACGGTAAATGTTAGCCGACATAGGATTAGGTAAGAAAAGATTTAGTGGGGGGTAAAGCCAAAACTTGGGGGTCAGTCAGTCCATGAGATTGTTTGACAGTTAGGTTGAGCCAACCACGTAGGAAAGTGTAAGCTACTCGGTCAGGGTCCTAGGATGTTTAGATTCAATGACTGGAGACTACTGTGACGATTTGAAAAACTGCTGTAATGTTTTATATTGTAATTCAGTCAATCAATCTATATCGCCTCATTTAAGATAGCTTGATTTCATGCTAAATATCGAAAGACTCAAGGTATTCGTTAGAACTTCGTTGTATCTGTAACAGATTTTCTATACACTAGATATTGTGAAGCATATTATTTTATTTATTTATTTTTTATTACAGCTTGATTCCACACTGTATTTTCGGTACAAGTATGGAATTTTCAGCATGTGATATCGGTAGCCCAAATTTCGAAGGCCGACCATAGATATCAGGTGTCCATCGGTAGGAGATCGAACCTCGGACCATGTGCATGGTCGGCGAGAGTCCTAACCACTGTGCCGCCGACGCACACAAGTAGGTAAGTTTATTATGTGAGGCCTGTGGGTGAGTACTATCCACTTGTGCTAAAGACGAAAAAGAGTGAAATTACCTACTCTCTCTCACACACATACACACAAATAGAAAGAGAATCTCAGGGGATACAAAAGGTATCTAATACTAGTTGCTCTGGTGCTTAGGTGGAGCACAGAGTTAGAATGCTCGCCAACTAAACCACATGTGATCCAGGGTTTGACCCCCGGCCACCGACGCACTCCTTTACCTCGCTAAGCCACTAAATATGACTGGTAAAGAAGGAAGGTGGGGCATAAGGTTAGCACCCCCATTTCGTAAAAATAAGAAAACCACTGCTCTCGAAACTTCAAGCTTCTAGTTTTTGAAGCCCTATGTTCCACTGGAGGTGGGGGGGAGGGGGAACGTAAAGGAATAAAAAAACCTGGTTACTCTAACAGAAAACAACTTCACCAGCAAAACTTACCCACTCCAAATAACAAAATCAGGTGTTTTAGGGAATAAATGTCTTGTAGCATTGATTGCAGATAAAGCAAGATTGGGTGAAGAATCACAGGAATAATTACCCAATGGTAGATTACATGATTTATTTACATATTGAAGATCACAGTGAATATCACTTAAATGCCAAAAATAACCTAAAATAAAAGAGAGATAAAGAGAGAGAGAGAAAATTAAAGAGGATATTAGACAACAAGATTAGTGAATTAATTCAATTTGATTCATTCAACCGAAGTGCCCGGCCTCACACTGACTTGTCAGTGGCTTCTTGTGCAGATACTTCGACAATGTCTGATTATTTAACATGAAGTAAATCGATGGATGGTGACTATGGATAATGAGGTTTGAGTCTCAGTGGGGACACCAATCTCACTCACCGGGGAATGCAAGTGCATCCAGTTGACGAGTCCCAGATGGGATGAAATGCGTACCCTGGATTCCACTGCTAGTCACCACTCTCCAATTTACTTTAAGAGTAGCTGTTTCATGGCAAAATACATACATATCCTAGACAGATGTTATCATTAGAAGACACAGCAGCTGGTCTAAACTAACTGTTATGGATTTCATTGACTGATGAAGCCATGTTTTCGATTGACCACCACTGACTAGCTCTGTTCCAACCGGATCCATCCTATGTCAGCAGCTAACAATGCCCGTCGGTCGAGGAAGGCGATCAACGGCTAGGCATGCACGCGTAACATTTAACTTCACAGCCTCATCTCTTGATTTCCCCTCTTTACCTAGCACTCGACCGATGCCCAACCTCAATATTGCTCACCCTATTATACCACCTAAAACGAGATGTAGATAGAACACAGACACCTATAATCTTTTCATGTATTCCACTGTCAATGGTCATATCTCACCCACAGTGATACAGGAGAACGGAGCGAACTACTGAGCGGTACACACACGCCCTTTGGTGGATAGCCGGATATCACGTCTACTAAGCCAGAGACGGAGTAAACTGGTATATCCCCCACGAGTCTTCTGTATTAGTACTGAGAATTGCGTCAGTGATTAACTCGCTGGCGTTGACTGATGCAAATTCGTAAATAAGTGAAGTGGTCAACACGCTCAGCAACCACTTCATTCCCTATCTCTAAGCTAGAGAGTCTATATATAGTCCAATCCTCGTATCTACAAAATTAAAGTTGAAAAAATAAATGGTGCAACTACATGGGAATAATATAATTGGGACATTTTTGAGTAATAAAAGCTACAACATCTGAGTCAATACAATCGATACTGAACAACACACCAACAGTCTAGTTGCAAATATTTCTCTACACGCCTGAAAAAAGTCAATAATTTTTTTTTTATTTACAGCTTGATTCCACACTGTATTTTCGGTACAAGTATGGAATTTTCAGCATGGATATCGGTAGCCCAAATTTTGCAGGCCAACCATAGATATCAGCTGTGCGCCGGCGTGGGCTCGAACCCCGGACCATGTACATGGTCGGCGACAGTCCTAACCACTGTGCCACCGACGCACATTCTATTCATTTGACCAAGAAACTCTTCGCCTTACTTAATTCACTAACATACAGTACACTGAAAAAGACAGACAGACAGGTAGACCTAAAATATGCAGCAGTCAGTCATTCTATGCGGCGATAAAGATGTCAAGTGATCCACAACGGAAAACTCAGCGTAGACTTTGAAGTGAACACAGGAGAAAGACAAGGCTGTCTAATATCACCAACGATACTTTTGATTGTGATGGACCGGATCATCCGTCAGGTTGTGTCGAATGAGAAAACGACGCCGAAAAACTAGAATATATGGAGTTCTCAAATGATTTTTGTCTAATGTCATACAAACTCGAAGACTTACAGGTAAAAAACCAACCAGTTGGCAGAAAACATTGGCAGCAAAGACAGGACTTCAAGTGAAAATAGAGAAGACAGGTGATTAAGGTGATCAACGAACCAGCTACCTGTCTGCTTTCGACATAGAACTTTGCACCGATGTGCACCAGTTCAAGTCACCACACAAAGCAAGAGAAGAAAGTAGAACCAATGCATAACAGAGACAGCAGACAGGGATCTGAGATAAAGGAATAGTAATAACGAAGAACAATATAGTTTTATTGGAAATTACAAGTCACAAGGAGTGAATGCATCTTCTCCAGCCATTGAGAATAATTTTGAGCCATACTACCGATTGTCTCCAGTCTTCATTGGTTTTTACCATCCCAAGGACCCCAGCTAGTCAGGAAGTGTACACCTTCCTACGTGGCTTAAACTAACTGTTGTGGATTTCATTGGCTGGTACCGTGTTTTGGTTTGACCGCCGCTAGTTCTTTTCCAGCCTGACCGTATGTCAGCTAACATCGCCTGTCAGTCGAGGAAGGCGATGGGTAGGCATGCGTAACACATGTCCTAAGCAGAATAAAAATTAATCGCTATCAACAGAAGAAACTTGAAAGAGGTCACTTCCTTCGCTTATTTCTAGGCAGGATCGTTTCAACTACCGGTGATGGTGGTGGTGGAAAAGTCATGGCTTTATCAGTCAATGAAATCTACGTAGGAAGATATAGGCTGCTGTTTGGTTGGGGTCCTCGGGACGGTAAACACACCAATGGCTAGAGAGAATTTGTGAAATCACTCAAAATCGTTCTCAATGGCTAGTGCACATACATCCACTCCGTGTGACTTACAATACCCAATGAAACAATACTGTTCTTTGATATTACTATTCTTTTTGCCTCTGTTTTGCGTTTCTTTTTACTTTCTTCCTCTTCTCTGGCCTTGTGTCCTAAGTGAAGTGTGGCGACTCGAACTGCGGCAGATCGGCGCAAAGTTCTTTGTTGAAACTCGTCAGTCAGTCACTTCACACTGTATACTGAAGATTACATGGCTGACTAGAAAGAATTAACAACGAAGAGCTCTGATGGAAAACGAACCAACTAAGAACCACCACCCATCACTCAACAAATATATACTGAGGGAAATGAAGATGCATGGGACGACATATTCTGAGGAGACCGTTGAATGTTATTATTCGCCCGGGGAGGCCATAGGCTAACGGGAAACACCTAGTTGAGCATGAGTCTGAAGATGACATGTAGGAGATAGTGTGAGGAGAAGATGGGATTTCAGAAGGCAGGATGAAAGGGAGATGTGCTGCTAAAACCTTATTTTCCATTCAGAATCCAAGGGAATAATAATATAACATTTGGTCACATCTCAATTTGTCAAGATGTCAGAGTTAGAAATACTCCAAGTTAATTTTTACAAAATGTGCTTAAGAAGGTACACTAATATATCTTTATATATAAAGACTCAAGCTAGTTCAAAATGTTCGGACACGTAAAAAAAGGGTTACGTAAAGAAAAATAAATGATACGTATTTATAATGAATGACACTTATTTAATAGGCATCGCAACAACAGGCAAATGGAAGAGGCTGACGCGAATGATGATGTAATCAAACGAAAGGGGAAGTTATATGATCCCATCAATAGGATATACAAATCCAGTTTCTAACGTTTGATAACTGTAGCTTCAACATATTTAAGATTAATTGAAGTGTATTATTTGCAGATCATCTCAAAAGACTTCAAAATACCTACTACATGACTCGTTTAAACGAGACGAGTGTATTGACCACTTCACTTATTTGAGAAGTTACATATGCCCAAAAGCGTCGGTGGCACAGTGGTAGAATGCTCACCAACTACGCCACATGTGATCCGGGTTTCGGTCCCCGGACGACAAGGGACTCCTTTACCTCGCTAAGGCAGTAATGAGACTTGTAAAGAGGGAAGGTTGGACATGAGGTCAGAACCCCCATCTGGTGAAAAAAATAAGAAAACCTCTACCAGTGAAACTCCAAGCCACTAGCTTGAAGCCCTATGTTTCACTGAGGTGCGGGGGGGGGACGTAAAGGAATAAAAAACAGTTTTAAAAAGTAAGCCCAAATGAACTGATTGGTGATTATGGAATCAGAGCATGAATATAAAAAACTCATGGTCATTATTATTGAGATTAGGCGTAGTAATAGGTAAAGACAGCAAACCAATCGATGAGGTTGTGGAGCTACATCGATTACAGTATTTACAACACGTATTACGTATACCCAGTCATTGATATAACAACGTTAGTTGACATCAGGAAAGAGTTGACAAAGAGTTAAGCATGATTAAATGGCTAGAGACTTTTTGTGATATGGCTCAAAATTGTTATCAATAAGGCAGATACCTTCACTCTTCGTGACATCACAGATCTATGAACTTGGTTATTCTTTCTGTTCAGTGCACAGTACCTTCTTAATTTTTTCTCTACCTTAGTGTGATATATGGACCATGACAATTTGAAGTGGTACATCTCTGTGTAGAGTTCGATATTGAAATTAGGTCATTTAATCAGTCGGTCATCAACACTCAGCATCAAGAACAAACTCCGGATGTTCAACATCAATTTCAAGTCAGTCAGTTCTTCTTTATAGGTTAAAGATTTGGCGTATCATGAAAATCATTTCCAATAGGCTGCAAACTTTTATCAACTGCTCCCTTCGCTTCATACTGAAGATACGATGGAAGGATTAGCAATAGGGAATTCTGGGAATCAATCAACAACCTTTTGCCCAAAAAATATACCAAAGATAATAGAGATGGATGGGATACACACTGAGGACTGACCGACTGGAATCAATGTAGAACTCCTTTGCACAGATGTACAGCAGTTCGAGTTGCCACACTCTCTCCGTGTAGTACACAAAGCAAGAGAAGAGAGTAAAAACAGATTCAAAACAGAGATAATAAACAGAAATATGAAGCAAAAAGAATATTAATATGGAAGAATAATAGAATTTTATTGGATATTATAAGTCACAAAGAGTGAATGCATCTTCGCCAGCCATTGACAACGCTGATTTTCAACCAGTGATATCACCACTTGTCTTCAAGCTTGATTGATTCTTACCGTCCCGAGGACCACAACCAGTCAGGAAGTCTACACCTCCCTACGTGGGTAGGGCGAACTAACTGCTACGAATTTCATTGAATGATGAAGCCATATTTTTTCGTTTGACCACCACTGGCTGTTTCCCGATCTCACCAATCCTATGTTAGCTAACATTGCCCGCTGGTGGAGGAAGGCGATGCCTGGGCACACGCAACACATGT